CCCCAAAACCCCAAAACCCCAAAACCCCTAGATATAGGATAATAGCAATATTCTCAGATTTAAGATTTTAATAAAATAAAACAGTATTATTAAATAGTTTTAAAATCTAGATTTGATGAAATCTAACTAGATAGGTAAAAATGAGTTGGTGCCTATAACTGAAGAATCTAAAATTATCGACTCATAATTTATAGAACAGGATCAGAACTTTAAAGGAAATTTATCAAATCATATAGAAAGTGAAGAGCTGTTTATAAAGAAGTAAAATATGGAAATTGAGGAATTACCAAAGGAAAATAAGAAAGTTTCTAGTTTTCAAAAGAATATTGGACTTTTGTTTATGTTTTTGTCCACATCATTTTTGGCATCACTTGGAATCATTGCAAAAATAATAAAAATAAGGACAGGTATGGGGATATTCTAAATTTGTTACTTCAGATTTCTAGTTCAAATCATTTGCTGCTAAATTCATCTCAAATACAGTAAAAAAAACATTTTAGAATTGAAAAATGAAAGCTTTAAGATCTTGTTTTGGCGTGCTGTAACTGGCTTTTTTTCTAGTTTCTTTCAAATTCTTGGAATATTTCTAATGCCTCTCTCAATAGCATCAGTAATTTACTTTACATAACCTATATTTGCCGCTTGGTTCGCAGTAATTTTATTGAAAGAGAAGCTTACCTTCATTGGTATAATAAGTTTGTTATCTAGCTCAGTAGGAATGGTTTTCTTAGTACAACCAAATTTGATATTGGGGGAAAGTTTTTCGAAGAGCAATTAATAAAATGACAAACAGTATCCATATTATTACTTCGGTGCTCTTTTTTCTGCATTAGGGGCAATATCTTCTGCTCTAGCTTATATTACTATGAGGAAGCTTGCTCCATTTAAACTTCATATGGCTTTTAATGCTTACTACTTTGGGATTTATTCAACACCTATTTCATTTTTTTTAATGGCAGTTTTCGATTAAAATATTGCTGATTCTATGACTCTCGAAGGATTGATACTTTTGACAATTATGGGAATATCTGGATATTTAGCGTAGACTTTATTGGGATTAGCTTTGCAAAATCAGCCTGTGGGCAGGGCATCTGTTATGAATTATCTCTAGGTAGTTTTTGCTTTTGTAGTAGATATTTTAGCTTTTGATTCTCATATTGTTTGGACTGACATTGTAGGTTCCGTATTAATCATAGGGTTTACTTTGGCAAATAGTATTATCAAATGTTTGTGAATATAATGTTTTAATTGACACTCAAATGCTAATCATATTTTGTATTATGGGGTTTTGGGGTTTTGGGGTTTTGGGG